AACTATATATATGCATAGAAACCAAAACTTGTGTGTATATATATAACTATATATATATATATGAAAACCGATATAATGTGTGTGTATAGATATTGAGCTTAACGTATTAAACACACATAATATAAACCCTAAACTAAATTACCCAAGCTAGATCTTGATCTTCAATAAGCTCTTCTAGGTAATCTCTCGGATGAAGCTTTAACTTGGATCTTGAACTTTGAATAGCAAGGCTTCACCGACATTCCGCCAACCTCCATTGGATATCATCGTTGAAGCTCTATTCCATCCATCCTCCAACTACGTTGTTTGTCTATAATAAATAAGAAAACACAAATACTAGACAAACAATATTAGTGGTAAATTGTTTGTTAAACATCATCAAAACAAGAAGGCCAACAATAATAAGTACATAATTAATTAATAAAAATTATAATAAATGATATTTATTTCATATATATTTCTCTTTATTATGGTTATTAAATACTAATATTGAAACTAATTTTATGCTCATTAAATAATAATAATAATAATAATAATAATAATAATAATAAATTAATTAACAAGAATTACCAATTGGTAATAATAAATATACAAATTAAAATATATTTATATATATTACATTATTTGTGGTCGTTAAATAGTTGATTCAAGATAATTAATTTCATATTCATTAAATAATAATCATTAGTAAATTAATTATTTATTTCTTTATACATATATGAAGTTACTAGTTGCAAATATTAAAATTATGTAGATAATTTCATACCAATCATATACTAATTGTTAATGAAATAACTAATTAAAATAATAATGAATAATAATAAATTAATTAAAATATACTTTACATATCACATTATTTATGATAATTAATTACTAATATTGAGACTAATTAATTAATGAAGTTATTAATAAATAAAATTATTAATTTATTTATTTATTAATAAAAAATATAATTTCAAACAATAAATTGGCAAAGTGAGAATGGCTAAAGAATTGAAAAAGAATTTTCGAGAATAATATTGTCTTTTCACATGAATATAAGTAATAAAATGCATTTTATAAGTAGAAAAAAAATAAGTTGGAATTTTCCAACTTTATTTTTGCTACTTGTATGTTAAAAATAAGTAGATAAGTAAATACTTACCAAACATGATCTTGATAACTTATAAGTAAAAGGATACTTAAAAGTAAAAATACTTACCAAACATGATCTTGATAACTTATAAGTAAAAGGATACTTAAAAGTAAAATTTGAATCATGTTGCCAAACATGCTC